GAACAAGCGGGAGCGGGTGGATGGACGGACGGACGGACGGATGGACGAACGGACGGATGGACGGGCGTACGGGCGAATGTGCGAGAGCGCGAACGTTGGCGGCAGGAAACCGGTGAGGGAGCGAGATGGAGCGCGGGTGGAGGGCCAGCGCGCGTCCGAGAGAGGGTTGGTGGCTCGCTTCGGCACGGTTTAGGCGGCGGGCGGCGTGTGGTGCAATAGAGGCGGCGAGGAGGTGAGGTGGGGGTGCCCGGCACGGGGCCACGGCGCAGTTGCTACTCAGACACGGGGATGCTCGCAATGCCTCTATCAAAGGTTACCGAAATCCTGCGGAAATATCCGCGTAAACGCGGCGGGCCGTGCCGTGACGATTCGTCGAAGACGCGTGTCGCGTTCGCGGAGGTGCTCGTACGCGAGAAATCGGGGAATTACGCGAAAGATCTCGCGCCGCGTGCATAAGTCCGCGTGTACGGGAGAGAAAGGAGGGACCGGGAACAGCTTGGGGGGCGGCTTCTCGCGGGGCTTCCCCCGAGGAGACGATCCGGAGTAAGTTGTACGCTCGCGGAAACGTAAGGAGCGATCTATCTAAAGGGAGAAAGAGAGGAAGACGAGAGACCCTGCGAGAGAGGATCGACGAGAGAAAGAGAGAAAGAGCACCGAGGAAGCAGAAGGTGGAGGAGAAATAGAAGGAGCAAGAGCGCGAGCTCCGAAGAGCCCTTTCTACCAAGATCGCCACCCCGCGACGTGCCAGCAGACACTGCCGACTCGCGAGGAGCACGTGGGGGAGAAAAGTCCGGGAAAGCACGAGGATGGAGAGAGCGCGGCGAGATAGAAAGAGGGAGAAGGAGAAAGGACGTGAGATAGAGAGCTTACGAGGGTGCGAGAAGGATAGAAGCAGCGTCCCGACGCGTCTTACCACGACGCGCAAGGAGCGACGCCGCGCGCCTCTCTAGAAGGGGAAAGAGAGAAGGTGGAGGGGACGGGCGAGGACGTCGCGGCGGGGGTGGCAAAGACGCTCATTCGTTCCTCGAGTCACGTGGCCCCCTTCTTATACCGAAGGTTTTTCCTTTTGTCGCGCGGGAGATTCGAATGGCCTTAGACTGACGCCGATGCGGGCTCGGGGGATGCCTCGAGGGTGGGTACGATTATCGATGATGTCAGATTCGTAGGGTAATCTGCATGGATAACGTTTTTTCTTTGATTTTGTCGCATTTTTGTTTCATTATTTTTGTTTCATTATACCTAAGATCGGACTTAGTAAGTATCGGACTTAGAGTTTTACTTTAGCCGATAACGCAAGAAGTGGCATCGAACAACCTTCTTTAGAAAGCTCATACTTTTAAGTTTTCAAATTTAAGAGTTGCTTCCTTTAAATTTGTTTACAAATTTAAAACCATATTTTACTTTCTTTTCTTTTTATCATATATTGATGTCTAACTTCGAATTAACAATCGACTTATAATTTGTATAAATAATGTATAAATTAATTAAAATTATTTTTTAGAAACGCAATTCATTTAATTTGAAATCTGTCATGATCGATATATCCTCTTGTCGCTCGTATGCTTCTCGGTCCCTCCGCAAACGTTTTATAAAATTCGAAATTCCGATATTTTACCGTAATCGTAACCGTATACCGCTCTAAAAAATCGAAAAATTAATATAAAAAAATCGCGTTAATATAGCAATCGGTGAATTCATTCGCAGTGCAGTACTGCGAACAGAATCCACCGTTGATCGCAAAGTTGTTCGACGGATCGATCGTAACGAGGATAGGGGCCCGGTGGCGCCCCTTTTCTTTTCTGTTTCAGACGCGTCGCACTGTGTTGTTATGTGTGTTGTCATAATTATTTCATTGAAAAATTAATTTCGCCGTTTCCGAAACACTCACCGATTTCTGTCTGTGAAACACAAAGTCTGAACAACTCCTCTTAAGTTTTGCCGAAAGGACTTAAATAATTTAGAGAAGCTAAAACACACTTTCGAGCGATCCTGATTTCGAAATTACGACGATTAAGAAGACGACGATTAAGAAGAAAAAGGAAAAAATAACAGAAAATACAAGAAAAATAACGCGAAAAAAAGACAACCAAAAAAAGAAGAAGAAACGAAATTGAAACAAAAGCATTGCCTTAAAGAAGAAGAGTACACCTACACTGTCGAAGAAACAAACGAGAGACACAGGGGGGAAAGAAACAAACAAAAAAAAACACTTTAGACACCTACAAAGTAAATTGTAAAGATATGACTAAAGTATATTTTTAACAAGTTTTGAGAAACTTTAGATTTTAAACGTAAATTTAAAAAGCGAAAAATGAAAAAAAACGATAAAATTCTTAATAACTAAAAATGTGATCTAAAAGTCGTTGCTACCAAGAGAAGCCTTATGTCCTTGTTTCAGTTAGTTCGGTTCCAAACGTAAGTACTCTACCAACTAACTGGATATCGATCTTTGCATGTGGCATGTCTTTTCTCTATCCATTATTCTAACGTGAGAAATCTTGGATCTGAAGTCGCTGCTCGGAGGGATGAAACGGTCGCCATGTCCGTGCTCCGAAAGGAGCGGAAGATTCCCCCTCGTGCGGGTTCTCTTCTGCGGATCACGTCGCTCGAGCGGCGATCCGCCGAGAGAGAACGAAGGGGCGCCAACTTCCTCGCGAATCGAGGATCTGTCGTGCCGTTTAGCAGCGGATCATAAACGGAACGATAAATCTCTCGGTGACCGGTACTTAAATCCGGTATCGTGCAAATAACATTACGTCCAAAGGCAACTGTTTTACAAGTTACTCCATAATGACAGCCCTCGCGCGCGCGCGCGCGCGCGGCACCACCTAACAACGGCCGCTATAAAACTTGCCGGCGTAATGCGTACTTTCGCGCGGGCCGCTGCATGCCTGCTCTATTGCTCTTTCGCTCACTCTCTCTCTCTGAACGGTCACGGCTTATTACGATAAAACAGTTAAACGCGAAAGTGTCCGTAAATAGCGACTACCGTAATGACTACTGTTACCCGGTAGAGAATCGCTGCTTATGTATATTATCATTATAATTCGCGTACACCACTTATTAAGTAGTGTACAGAGAGCGACTTGACGGCCGACCTGTCGCGGGACGAACCTCAAATAGACCTCGAAACAAGTTTCTCGCGATAATAACGACCTAGGAAGTAGTTCATACGTTCATATATATTTATCACGAATTCCTTTCGTCGTAAAGTTTATCGCTTTGATTTTGTATGTAACTTCTCGTCACAATCTCGATTTTTCATCATATCTAGCTCTTAACAAAAAATCAATTCTCAATCAACTTAAAAATACAATAGAAATGTACAAAAAATAATTGTTGCATTTGCCTTTTATTTTTGCATGCGATTCTGATTGTATTTTTATAAAAGCGTAGCGAGTTATTTTCCATAAAAATTCTCTTTGTCGGATTAATGATCCCGCGAATATCGTGTAGGGCAAATTTTCCGTTTCGCTCGTAAAAAAAAAAAAATCAGGGAAAAATATGAAAAAGGGGCGAGAGTCGCGGAGACAAAGAACGCGCGATATGCGGAATCATTCTATTTCCCGAGTTCGATGACGCACCCCCGGGTTTGATGCCAGGCCCGGGAGCTCCACCGATGATCAAGGGTGATGCGGGAGAAAGAGGGACGGGGGCGAGGGTGGGCTCGGCACCGGCGAGCGGAGCTTCGATTTCAAATTTCCTATTTCCCGACGAGTTGGCCTGTGTGTTGAAAACGTAGCGTGCAACGTAGCAACGCACACGCGGGAGAGCGAGAGAGAATTGCATACACTCTCGACATAAACCCCGGGGGGAGAAGAAAATGACGGTGGAACGCGCGGCGGCGATGGCCGGGGGGCGGCGGTGGCGGCGGCGCCACGGCGAAACACCGGCAACCCCGCTTTCGCCGAGTATTTTTTCGATGATTTTCGAGCTCGCGTATGTGTATCGTACATGCATGCGTTCCTCCGCGCGTATACATGTGAACGGCCCTATCACCCCCTTCGACTGGGTCGTCGATGGTTGGCGTTGTTGCGCCGGGGATGCCATCGGAGGAAGAGCGGTAACGACGGGCGGGAATGAGGGGGGGAGGGGGGACGGGTGGTAGTCGGCGGCGGAAAGGCGTTAGGGTGCCCCTGGGTGGAAAGAGGAGGTGGTGCAACGGTGTCGGTGGTTGCATGAACCGGTTGATAGATAGAGAACGAGGGAGAGCGGCGGTGGCATGCGAACGGAGATAGAACGGCCGTGAGATACGGCCGAGGGAACCGGGGACGGCGGTGGGCCTGCATGCACTTTTTTTTCCGCACCCCGCGTATTGATCCCGGAGTCATTCAAAATGGCGGCCGGGGCCGAGTCAGCCAATGACTGCCTGAATCGATGACTGCAGCGAGCCACCCCCGGACCGGCCAATGGGAGGCCAATGGGAGGCCGTCGCACGCCGTTCTCTGCGGGAACTACCACCCCGATATACGAGACACAGGCCTCCTACGTTGTGTACCCTGATACACACACATATACACACGCACACATACACGTACACGCAGAAACACACACACACACACACACACACAGAGAGATGTGTGTACGTGTAGCTGTTCGGTCCGCCGGGTAGAGCTCGTCGATGACCCGGGCGACGTCAATGATTTCCGCGGAAAATTTTCCCCCCCAAAAATGGCAAAACTCGCCGTTCGCTTCATCGGCCGGGTATCCCGGACCAGAGCTCGCAGTCGCTTTGATTAACGATCTCTCTATGTATATATTCCGCCGCTTTCCCCCCCGCTTACCCTTTTCGTACTTTACGGCAAATATACGAGGCAGAAAGTACTGACTGCGCACGCAAAAATATTCGTGATCATCGACCGGCGTCTGCCATCTTTCATGACTAGCGGGCTTGCCCGTCATTGCCCGATTCTGCCCGATGGACATTGCTACAAAATGAACGAGATTCATTCGCAGCATTTATAATCCTAAATCATTTTAATCTTGTTCTAAAACATTAAAAAGGAAATAGATTGTGTTTGCCGGCATCATCGACATCATAGAATCCCTAACTACGACATATGTATCTCGTCTTCGTATTTCCATTATCATTGCCGTACATCGCAAAGCGCGCGATGAATTATTTCGTCGTCTTTCTTCGCCTTCAATATAAGATCGCGATTAAAAAGGATTTGCAAATAATTAAAGACGATTCGCTCTTCCGTAATTCCACGTCGTCGCGCACGTAGTCGCGATTCGTGCAATCCGCGCTTTTAAAAATTAAATGTAACGCGATTACGACCTCGCAGATATTTTCGCGGATAATTCTGTGACGGATACGTTCTCCGGGCTTGAAAATGTTTGGATTTTATGTTCTCTCGTAAGAACGGTGCGCGGCGTATTTTTCCGATAACACGCGAGGCGCGTCAGTTTTTTTTCTGGAATGACTGTCGCGAAGCCGCCCGAAGTCACGGTGCTATCTTCATCACCTTGATCCTGGATCCGCGCCTGCTTATCTTATCTCGTGGCTCGCACAAAGTCTTAGAAAACACGAGAGAGCGATAAATAGGCCGATGGTACTCGGCGGATCGACGCCGCTGAATCGCGATCGTCGTCGCGCTGACGACGATTCGACTCGGGACGCGATTTGAGGGACCGCTATCGCGATCGCTGGAATTCCGTGATTAAAATTTCAGAGATCGTCCTACCGGACGGATCGATCGATCGCGTCCGATTGTGGGATTCGTTACCACACTTTGCGCATAGCAGCGGAGCAAAGAGAATGTCGAAACTGTGCGAGGCACGAGGCACACACGATTGCATCACGAGTCGCAGTGTGTGCGGCGAGTTGCATTACGTATGTGTGTGCATATGTACTTAGATTGGCTCCTATTGACACAGCCGCAGACGACAGTGGTGGTACAGTCGGGAAAAATACATGCGACGCGTTCCGCGGACTCTGGCTGTCCGTGCCGTGAGTTTCGACGATGCGCTCGCGCACACACATACACACATACACACTCCCACTACGCACGCACGCACGCACGCATATACAGGCCTTTGATCTCCGCGCGCGACGCGCATTTGACATCCTGAATTATCCGGAATCGGCGGATATCGATTATCGGCGGATCAGTTGTCTAAACAACGCGGGCGCACCGCGCTGGATCGCGCGCGTGTACTCGCGCGCGCGGACTCGACCGAATCTACAATTCATCCTTTTTAAGCGCCTTTGTCCTTTTCACGCGAGTAAATTATTTCCCCCGACCGCGACGTGGTCCGAAATAATTTGATTCATTACGCGCGTTTGCCGCGTTTGGTTATATTTAATGCGGCGATATGGAGCCGCGCGCAATGCAAGCGGCCGCTCGTCCCGACGAGCGTTCTCTCATATTTAATGTAAATCAAATTTAGAACCGGAACAAAGTACACCGGTCAGCGGCGAGCCGATTCTACACGTTTGCTCGATTACTGTTAATTAGCCGTCCGTCCAAATGGATCTGAAAAATTCACGAGTTGTCTCGCTGTTGCCCGTTCACACAGTTTCCCGGATCACTGACTTTTCCCGCGACGATTCTGATGCATTTCCCACTTCCGTTCGACACGCCGCAAATTGAAGGAACTGTCGATACTTGAACAGCCTGTAATTTTCCACGGGAGGGGGAGGGGGAGGGGGAGGGGGCATAAACAAATTTTATTAAAACCTCGCGTTAAATAATTAATGCTTAAAGTGGCGCGCGGGTTTTTTGACGGACAACGTTAAATCGGTTGGTGCGTCGAGTCTGCCGTGACAACGGATCGCGACGTGTCCGCTCCGTCGTGTCGAGGGGAGAAAGAACGGCCGATGCACTTTCTGACGCAGCTGTACTAAGTGCACGAACGGAATGGGTTTTTCTAGCGCGGGCAGTTTTTCTATTAAGCTTCATTTGTTTCTTTCATTGCGTAATGCGCCGGACGCGTCGCTCATTTCATCCTACAGCCGGCCGGCTACTCCTACCGTTAGAATTCTTAATCCGGGCCGTCAGTTTCGATGGCTCGCGTGCCGCATGTTCCTCCGATGTTCGCCG